TGATGTACAGAGAATAGTTGAGTCAAGTTTAGGGCATCGTGTTTAACTTGACTTGCATGCAATACATATAATATCACGGTAGCTCTTTTGTACTTCGTCTGATATTTGTTTTTCCTGTACTTCAAATAACACCACCGTTATAAATAATCTACAGTGTAAATAATACCACCTATCATCATTATCGTAACTCTTCTAATATTTGGACGGCATCATTGTAGCTGTTGCTTACTTACCCTGTACAACAAAAACACTGTTGTTCCTATATATGATCTGGGAGTGGTTCATATGATCATAGTACAGTCGTACAGAAAATAGTTGAATAATTAGCAAGAGTCCAATATACATAATAAAACTGAAACGATAACAGATTATAAAGAGATCAGGAAGTTATACTGCAAGTCTAGGAAAAAATGGAGTTTTTTTGTGATTATTATCTGGGCGTGGTTTATACTATTACAGTGGATACACACTTGAAGAGTTTTGTGTGATTTTGATCTGGGTGGAGTTTATAATTTTACAGTGGATATATATACCTGAAATGTTTTGTGTGATTTTCTAATTATGCTACTCAGTAAACAAAAAAATTATTCAAGTTAAATATCACCGAATTATTTCTAAAGAATTTCAGATTTTAAAATTTTGAATGTTACTTCATCCATTAACTAAAAACTTTAACAACAAAAAAATGTGAATAATAAAATTATTCGTTTCAGTTTTTTAAAAAAAAAGAGTACAAAAGAATACATAAGTCGTTCACATTCACGGCTTGTTTGTTTGTTTAAATTTTTTGAGAAAGCATACAAAAAGGCAACCTATGCATAGCTGTCTCTAAAGTTGAACCAATACAGTAGACGGAAGACATCTATTTAACAACACCCACCACCAATTCATGGATTTCTCTGATCGTACAGTTAAATTTTCTGTCACTCTTATGGGGCACGCAAGATGAGCCGAAAGTGAGGAGTGAGTATTTACTGCAACAGAATGTGTGTATCGTGAACTCCCGGCTTCTCAATCCAATCACGCTGCCCACTAGTTCACTTCAGGCGTGATGTTTACGGACATTACACTCCTACACAAGAAGTATTGATTATAGTTGAATGCCATGTATATCTATTTTACTGTAACATGTTCGTTGTTTTTCAGAGATGAGAGTTGCTTATTTAACATTAAATGGGAATTAAATGGAACGTGTCAGCCGTGATTCAAAATGTTTTAATGTAACTTGTTCCTTGATTTTCAGAGCTGGGAGTTGCTGGTGTTAAGTCGAGTTAAATGGGACGTATCAGCCGTGATTCCAAAACTGTTTTAATGTAACTTGTTCCTTGATTTTCAGAGCTGGGAACTGCTGATGTTAAGTCGATTTAAATGGGACGTATCAGCCGTGATTCAAAATGTTTTAATGTAACTTGTTCCTTGATTTTCAGAGCTGGGAGTTGCTGGTGTTAAGTCGAGTTAAATGGGACGTATCAGCCGTGATTCCAAACTGTTTTAATGTAACTTGTTCCTTGATTTTCAGAGCTGGGAGTTGCTGGTGTTGAGTCGACTTAAATGGGATATATCAGCTGTGATTCCAAATGATTTCCTCGAGCCCCTGCTCTATAGGCTTCTCCTCAGTGAAGGAGCAAGGACAAAAGCCAGACAGCACGCTGAAGTCTTTATTAACATGTGTTGTACTGGTACGTATCTTAGTTTTTATGTTTTCAAGTTTGTTTGTTTTTCAAAAGTTATCAGTAAAACTGACTGAACTTTTATCTCGCATTGCAGTGTGTATTCGCGTTATTATTATTTTGGAATATCTCATTCATTTTACCCCAATTTGATATAAAAAAGACAACTTTTAAACTGTTGGTGAAATCTTTTAATAAATAAGAAATTGCAACTTCAGTTTTTTGTGGAGAGCAACTTTTAGCAATATTGTTTTAATAAGATTAGAGAAAATCTATTTGCTTACTAATTTTTAAGGGAATATCAATATTAAGGGAAACTGAATATCTTGCTTCAACTAGATTTTATGGCCAGTAAAAAAAAAAAGAAGCTAAATATGAATGTATAATTATATCTTCTTTTTTTTAATAATTTCCGTTAACACTATGTATTTCAGAATTAAAACTTTTCTAATAAGTTGTTGAGTTTTTAGCGCAAAGCTCTAAATGGACTATCAACTCCAGGTTTTAGCATTGTGAGTCCGGAAACTTACGGCTGACCTGCCTGAGGACTGAAAATAAATTCCAATTATTTTCAATAAATTCTTTTCGTTTTCAAGATTAAGTACTCAAAGATAAAATATTTGTTGTTATTTTATTTATTTTTTACGTTCCATCTTTCAGTCGGTAACCTATTATGTGTAAAGATTACAATTATTTGCTTAAAAAAAAACTCAGGCACAATGGGAGTTGTCTGTATTCTAGCTATAACAATGTATTGCTACTGTTATTAAAAACAAACTCAGGCACAATGGGAGTTGTCTGTATTCTAGCTATAACAATGTATTGCTACTGTTATTAAAAACAAACTCAGGCACAGTGGGAGTTGTCTGTATTCTAGCTATAACAATGTATTGCTACTGTTATTAAAAACAAACTCAGGCACAATGGGAGTTGTCTGTATTCTGGTTATAACAATGTATTGCTACTATTATTAAAAACAAATTCAGGCACAATTGGAATTGTCTGTATTCCAGCTATGTCAATGTATGGCTACCGTTATTGAATAATGTCAATAGCACCCATGAATTCAGTTTTGTACAAAACTTATATCAGATGACTGCTCGTATTATCTGATATGTACATTTCAGTGGTTTATGAATTTGAGGGCGACGCGATTTGTTTTCGGATGGTAGCGTAAGCATCAGAGGTTAAAGAGGCGCAGATTAGCAGTGAAACTTGCCAGGACCTCGACAACCACATTTTCATCATATAGAGAGTAAAAGATCAACTGAAGTTGTTGGACCACAACAAGTTGTTGCAGAGTGGCTACTAGTCTCAACTTGCCAGGACCTCGACAACCACATTTTCATCATATAAAGAGTAAAAGTTCAACTGAAGTTGTTGGACCACAACAAGTTGTTGCAGAATGGCTACTAGTCTCATAAGGTGTGGTCCGTAGACTCACCTACAGATTATCAGTACAGTTCGCTGAAGACCTGGACAGATTGTTGACAACACCAAAAGATGACAACTGGCAAACATCAGCTTCACAAGCAGTTTAGAGCAGTAACTGGACGACAAGTTAGCACGAAAATGGAAAATCTTCTTAAGATTGGCCTATATGCCAGGTACCCAATTGCATGGCCTTGTGGTTAGGGTATTCGACTCGCATACTGAGGGTCGCGAGTTTGAATCCCGGTTACGAACTTGCTCGTTCTTTATTGTTGCCTACTGGGCCAGTCACACGGGTGTAAAATTTCTTGGCTTTCAAAATTAACGGGTGATCCCAAACTCACTCGGATTACGGCCGTAAAAGATATAACGATGGTATACGTTCCTCTTACCTATCATCATAAAACAGCTCGTCTCAAACAGCGTCAATAACACGTGAAATAATCAGATGACGTATCAGCAAATATTTTGTTCATAGACGAATTACACTTCATACTACAAGCAGACACGAAACGTGCACACATTTGATGAATGACCGTGAACAGATCATCCCCAATTTTATGGAAGAAAGACACGCGTATGGTAATGGTAGCATATTGGTCTGAGGAGGAAGGACTGGTATTAACACTGGTCTTTCTGCGTCACGACATAGGACTACGAATGTCATACATTATAAGGATGCTTTCCTACAGCTGTTAGTTTTACCCCACGTACGCAGGTGCATTTGGCCAGATATCTTTGCTACTGATTAATAACGCGTGTCCTCAGTATGCTTAACTAGTTACGGTATCAAGTGAATGAATTAGCAAACCGATCTGAATCCGATTAAGTACTGTATTTGAAGCTGTGGGAAGACACTTTACAGGAAGCAATTCATCTCCAAGCAGTATTATTAATTGGAAGGGTTCTGCCGTACCACTTCCATTTAGCGAAGGTGATCATACATCTAATCAGCAAACGTTTTCTGGCGATTTATTGGACTGAAAACAGAATATAGGATAGAGCTAGAGAACTGCGATTGTCCATTAATTGTTTGTAGCAGTGTAAGTTTTTTTGTTTTGGTTTTTATTTCATCTTTTATTTAGTAACCTACAATAAAACTATTGGTGTTTATTTTGAAATTTCCGTGAGCTATCGACACAACATCATTTTAACAGATAAAATACCAAATAAAGCAGGACTTGCACGTTTGTATTTTATTTTCGTAGAAATATGCTTCAGTTGGTCTTACCGTCCAATTTGGTATTTTAAAACTGAATGGCAATTTTTGTGATATTTGATCTGAAAGGCCCAAGGTTCTGCCATAACCATACCGAACTTGGAACTACTTTAAAGAGGGCATCCAGTTAGTACCGCCCAATGCCTGCAGTGTTACTTTTAACCGAATAGCGAATGGAGTGTCACAGTTATAACTCCTCCATATCTTAAATTGCAGTACATGTTCAGTGGCGTATCACGGTTCAAACCTTGGGTCCTCCGATCTACACCTCCGTTGAAGACCAATGAACTATTTCAATATAGAATAAGGTATGAAATATTGTGTAATTGAAAGAAACCATTTATAATTCGTTTGTCTGCTGTTAGACACAAAACTACACAATGGGCTATCTTTGCACTGCCCACACGGGTATCGAGATCTGGCTTATAGCGTTATAATTCCGTAGACTTGCCGCTGTGCCACTGGGAAGGGGTGCCATTTTTTATTTGAACGCAAATATATATAATTGTATACAATTTAAAACATGTTGGTTAATACGATAATAATTCTATCATAGCATCACAATCACCCTCATACGTGCATACCTAACACAAACACGCACACACAAACATATAAATTAGAAATATGTACTTATATATCATGTGACGTCCATATTCTAATTTCTAAAACTTTATGACCGGCGAGGTTACTTACGATAAAAATAAAATCCACCAGAGACTAAAATGACTCATTCTGTTTATATAGTTCAACTTCTAATTTTAGTTAGGATGATCAACTTTTTACTACAAGGTAGGGGTGGAAAGAACAGGATGTGTAGGTAAATCAGAGCAAGAGCATCTTTAGATACTCTTACTAGACAAGGGTGTAACTTGATGGACCTCATTGTAATGTTAAAGGTGTGGGAACCAGATAGTGTAAAGGGTGTAGGAGGTTACGACACCGGAAACAATCAACCTGGCCCTCCCTCGCCATCAAAACATGGCGTTTGTCGGGTTTTGTACGTTTCTGATCCATTAACGACGCACATGCTTACATGGCTGTTTCTTTATCAAAATAAAACCGGTTATAACTTAGTACCATCTCTAACATAGACAGAATTAATCGAAGCAAAGTGAAATAAAATTGAGAATTTTACTTCAAAGACCATGTTGTTCTCAAAGTTTCGTCTATAAAAGCCTTAACCGTTACGTCACATACGGTTACCATGAGTAATTGCAGTAACCAATTAAATGATAAAAACGTTTATTTGATCTGTGATATTTCGCTTCACGTGTCTAACCGTTTTTCTAAAAGTAAGAGCAGTATGGGTCAATAAACAACACTGTTAACTGTCACTTTTAATTACGTTAAATATTCATTATACGGAGAAACAATGCAGTTGGTCAGTATTTCAAAAAAATAAAAATTTAAAAACGTATGTCAAATCAACATCTGATACACCGTTCAGTAAATTAAGATAAATTGCCAAAAATGTAACTCAAAATTAATTATAAATCTTTTTTTTTTTGAACGTTTATGACACTTATATCAATCTTATCTAACTGAACTTATATTAAACCACGGCGTACTAAAGTGAGATCTCATCTTCCTTGTGTACAATTCATAAAGATTACACGAAACGTAACGGGAAAGTGTGGTACGCGTCTTTGTAGAATTGGTCCATTAATATTGATTTGTAAATACGACCACGTTATCTTTGTCGCAGATAGTGTAATAAACCACTCACTTCCACCCACGCTAACGCTTTGCAGTTAAGCAATCACGTGATATGTATTAAGATAACCCACACACACAAATATGTAATTAATAGATAGCGTTACTTACTACTTTTGATATTATGTCCCGTTTACACCTGAATTACTTTTACTTAAGTGTAATATTCAACACTGAAGCAAAGAGTAACATCGAAAAGCAGCATTCCTTCCGCGCTGAAAATCTATTTATAAATCTATTTTTAAAGTAGTTTCCATGTTTCTCGGCAGTTTTTATTGTGAATTGTACATTAAAGCATCTTTTTATATATATTTAACTTCATTGCTTATTGTTTGTTCCGCGAGTCAGCTTCTTATTGACTGACATAACTAAATTGTAGCAGGATAATTTTGCTCTGGTTCTTCTGGTTTATGTAATCAAGATTTGTTTCTCATCAAACAAAGTATTAACAGAATGTGCCATAGCAACCCTTCACACACACAAAAGACGAAATTGTTTGTAACGAAGTAGCATATATGTCTTCACGAGTTAGTATAACGTTAGAAACATTCCAAGTATCCATATATAATGATGTAAATAATTTATCTCCTCGTGCAAAAGTCACACGGCTCTCCGGTGGCTCAGCGGTAAACTTGAGGACTCATGA